CAGGGTGTCACGAATAGAGATGGGGAATCGTGCATGAAGAGATGGGAGAACATTTTCGGGTGGTACAGAAAAATTTGGGACAGGGAAAAAGACTCGGGCGTGCAATTTTTTTTCCTGCTCTCCTCGAAGAAGCGCAAAGAACTAGGCTTCAAGTTCTCGATGGATAGACAACTATATGATGCCATCCACGCAACGACCCCCAACAATCAGGCCATACACCCGCCTAATCTACATGACACCGGCGGACTGCCTCCGCAGCAACCGAATAAGGGTGAGCAGAGCCAACCGCGGGGGCCGACAGTCGTGGGAGAGACGTCTGCGAGTCACAACATGGAGAGCGGAGCGGGGGACGGGTATGGCAATAGATCTTCAGGGGGCACGGCTGCAGGGAAGCGGAAGAATGCGCGGCAGCTTGCCTTCGATACTGTCGCGGATGTGATGAAGACGCATTCGACAGTCGTGGCGGAGTCTGTAGATCGTGCCAGCAAGTGTCAATGCGATGTGCTGCAACGGCAATGCGACATAATGGAGAGGGAGGCGAGGACGCAGGAGAAACAGTGCGAGGTGCTTGATGCGGGTCAGCGCATGCTATGTGATGCGTTGTTGAAGATAGCATCCGCGCTATCTCGGAGTTGACATGGACAAGCCCCGAATCCCCTCACCCCCCCCCGCTTCCGAACATGCCCCCAACACCTCGGTACCTGCACCACCCATATAAGTAACACCCCCCAAGCCACGAAACCCCCTTCCCCACTATCTGCGCCGAATTTCAGGGCCCACCCCTGTTGTGCACCCCTTCACTGTTAACGCAGGCAGAACCCTCCGTAGGGGTTGTGATGCAACCGTCCGTTGATGGAGGCAAGCCATCGGACGGCGATGAAGACGGCGTCGGGGACTTTGAACACGACATCCCGTCCGTGGTGGACTACAAATACTCGAACGACCTGTGGCGGGTAGCAACATTGGCACTGGGATTATCACTGCCTTCCTTTCGGCGATCGTTCTGCGGCCGTATTCGTTATCCGTTGTTCTACGCGCGGGCGGTTGTCGGTGGTCGTGCCTGGTGGGAGGAGTGCAGGTTTTGGTCACGCGCGTTCGAGACAGGTGGTCACAGCGGGGATTCGCGTCTGCTCCTTGGTGGATTGCAGTGCAGATGGAGGTTGACGTGGCGCTGCGGGGGTGGGTTTTGGGTCGGTCCGTCATCTTCTACGAGATGCAGCACCGACGCGGGCTTGATTACAGTAGGGATTTCAGATTTGAGAACGGTGTGTCCAGGCATGAAGTGCGCCATTACGAGATCGACGTCGATGGAGACACGTGTCTCCATCTGATGGTGGGCTTCGAATTTGGCAGAATTCTTCTGCGGCAGTTGGTGGTTTTCGCGCGAAAGGTGGGAACAGCCATCCCCAACCGCTGGGCAGGAGGCGTCGACGTGTTGTCAGACATCATCGACCTGTTCATCTCCTACGTGGCGACGGGGTACGCCGGCCGCCTCCATGAGCCGGCGTTGTATGTCGTGCATGCAGAACCGCCATTCTTCGATCGAGACTATCTCCACGGCGAAGTGCGGATCAAGTCCGACGACTTCCACTGAACTCGGCGATGGCGGTCGTGGTTTAAGCGACAGGAAACAAGTCCGTCGAACTCGCTTCAGGGCTTACTTACTCTTTCGTCTGACTGGAAGTGAGGAGAAAAAGAGATTGAGAGAGAGAGACACACGGAGAGAGAGAGAGAGAGAGCTGTCTCTTATACACATCTAGATGTGTATAAGAGACAGGAGAGAGAGAGAGAGAGAGAGAGAGAGAGAGAGAGAGAGAGAGAGTTAGGTAGCGGACAGTCAAACCTTTCCCTGGGTCATCCCCACGGAAGCAATCAATGTTGTTTCCGCCTTCTTGTCGGCGGCGTGCTTTGATGACGGGGATGGATGGTTCTGTTATTGATAAGGTGCCGCAACGGTGAATCCATCCCTGTCCTTGTTCGTGTTAAGATTGACATTCAGTTTTTTTAGTGCTTCGTGAATAAAACTTTGCTTTTTGGCCATTTCGTCGTTTTGGTTTTTGTTTTATTTTTGTCGTTTTGCTTTCAGTGAGTCTTCATTCAGTTTCTTGAGTGCTTCATGAATGACACTTTGCTTTCCGTCCATGTCGTCGTTTTGGTTTTTGTTTTATTTTTGTTGCTTTGCTTTCAGTAAGTCGTGCATGATATTTACCGCTTTCGTTTGCAATGGTCTGAACGCGATTATTGAATACCCAATAAACGATGACACAATAACTGACATATAATACGTTTCATATGAAAGCTCACTCGAAGTCATCATCACATTCAGTGCTCGAATTGGAATGCACAAATTTCAAACACATGTCATCAAATCACACACACCCCAACTTCCTTCAAACATCACCCTCCCATGCTGGCGAAAATCGAACAATCGCAAAGAGAAAAACAACCGTCATTAGTAAAAAATAACAGAGGCGAGAAGAAGAAAATAAGATCGAGTTCACTTAAACTGAAAATACAAGTCGGCTCTCATCAATCGGAACGCGAAAACAAACGCCACTAAACTAATCCCCCCTACCCAGCCCCAAATCTCCACGGTGAAGCCCGAACCTCCGCACTGCAATGAGACGGCGGGATCTAAACCCGCACTAACTGTTGTGACCGTGAATGAGGGCAGACCGAAATCCCCCACCCACAAAACACCCGCAAAGCTCCACCGTTCAGCAATCCCCATCTGCGGGATGCAAACCAACTATCGCATTTGCATGCGCAGAGCATCGCGCAGAGCGAGGGCAGCCTCCGTCGCGTCGGCTTGGGAGACTGGCTGGGACAAATTTTGCAAGCCAAGGTCTATGGGGACAGTGTTCCCCTCTCGGTCGTGGTCAAGCAACAGACGCTCGTCGAACGGGACCCCGGCCTCCATGAACAGATTGTGGATGATACACACGACAGTGAATTGCTGCGGGAGGTTATTCATATTAATCTTGTGATAACGAAGGAATAACCTCCACATCCCCTTAAGCCGCCCGAATGCTCTTTCCACTACCCCTCTCGTTGTCTTCTGCAGCGTGTCGAAAAGAGCGATGTCCCCCGTCTGCTCCGACCCTCCGTATGGAACCACAATCCAAGTGCAGGGTGCGTAACCATTGTCCCCCAGCAGGTATCCTGTCATCCTTACCCCCCCCGGGAGGATGATGGGTCCGCCGTGAAGATGTCGCCCGCCTCTGCTCGCCTAATAAGTGAAGAATTCCGCAGCACGCGGGCATCGTGGACACATCCTGGATAACCGACAAACACGTCGATGACACGCATGTCAAGGTCGACGACAACCTGCGCCACGACTGAAAACTGCTGCTTACGATCGAAGTAGTTTTCGGACGGCGTGTTTGCAGGCTTGTCAACGTAAATATGGGTGCAGTCGATTGCGCCCAAGCAATTAGGGAAGCCTTTGCCGCCGAATGCCCGGACGACCTGTAGGAGACGACGACCGGTAGGAAACGCTATTTTCTCCGGATACGCAGCCAGTATAACTTTTGTCACATGATCCACAACCTTGATGCCTGATGACCTCTCGATGCCGAACGACGAAGTACTGCTCTCGAAAGTCTCTCCTAATGCCCACCGGTACAACGCGTAAGCCACGATATGGTCGGGCTGCAATAGCTGCCGATAGTGAGTCAGTCTGCGCTGAATGAAAAGACTGCAAGCGGTGACGATTGCATTGAACACCGTCCTTGTCATCCGCAGTTTGTCATGGAAGTAGTCCTCATTCGCATCGTCGGCGATGGTGCGGTCTCTCCAAGTTCCACCCGTCCTTCTTTTCACCCACCACCTCGGCGTCTCCCTCGGCATGACACCCGCCACAATTGCATTCGACAACAAGAACGGTGCATCCCACAGCCCTGGCGAGGAGTGCACATCCATCAAAGCCTGGGCTATGGCAGCCTCCCGTCCGCCCCTCTGTCTTCCACTTGCCCGCCGCACGTCATTCACCGTCTGCATGTGACGTGCAACTGCGAGCAACGCCGTCCCTAGCATCGACCTCTCCCTTGGCGTCAGCCTCCGCGCCCCAGGTGCATCATTGATGCCGTCTTCCATAGCGCCCACCAAACTCGAACTTCGTGCGCAGCTCATGCGCCGGCTCGCCGGCTACGGCGATCTTCTTCCTCACGCTTCAGAAACCACGGATATTTCCTACACTCGGCGTCGACGTGCGCAGGCAGCGGAATTCAAATTCAAAATTTTGCCACCGCGCGCACCTTCTTATCGCGGGATGCCGATGTCGTGCCCCCGGTAGGCTGGGCGTGGGCCCGGAAATTGGATGTCCCATGGGCCCGCAGTGGGTGGACAACTTCTTGCCCGTCGTACTGCCTTCGCGGACATCCGTGCCCGACAACCAGACCTTCTGACACCGGCCACCCCTCACCTGAGATGTAAGGGCGGGTAAGTGTAGGGTAAGTGTAGGGCGCTGTTGAACGAAAATTGTTGTTAGGGTAATTTTATCACCTTTCGCCGGTAAGGGTGCCATTACAATGTAAGGATTGTTAAGTGGTATGGAACGAGGCCCTTAGTACTAGCTTATGCTAGTGGCGGCTTCTTTTTTGTTTTCCCTTTTTTTTTTTTTTTTTTTTTTGGTATCCATAGGATTGGAGGATTTGAACCCAACTCCCACGGTGGGGCAGATTGGGGCGCATTTCGACTAAGCGGTCCTACGCTGTTGACGCTTCACTCTAAACCGACGCGTCACCATGGTAATCTCGCTTGGTGAGTCTCCAACGCCACTACCTCATCGACAACTCCACCATCGCCAACGGAGGTCGAGGAGTTGTTCTCCCACCATTCATGGGCCCCCACTAGTTCAGGCACAACTCCCTCGAGGTAGCCCTATAGCCCCCACCACGTCTCCTCCACGGACGCTATGCAGGTAGAGAGTGTGGTTTGGTAGTTGCTGTTAGCGCTTACATGGATTTACCCTGGCCGGTCACAAGGGGTTAACGGGGCAACCGGTTTTCAGGACTGAAATTTCTGAAATTAGGGTTTTGCGGTCAAATTTCATGTTTTTTTAGGGTTTTTCTATGTGATGACGTAGTAAGAAGTGCACTCTATGGATTGGTGTGAAGTATTGTTAAAATGACCCTCTGGTTTTCTTACAAATGGAGCTGAAAAATGAGTGTTCGGTTAACCTGCTCTCCTTCTTGGCGGAATAGGAGGTAGAGTGGGAAAGTTGTGTTCTCTAGTCTGACGTGCATTTGGGTAGCAGGGCTACCGTGGGGTGAATTAGCTAAGAGTCCATCTTTCTACTCATCTCATCTTCTCAAGCTGTCCTGCGGCACAACTCTCGCCAGGAACACAACATCACGAATTCGGGGAATTTTGACAAGCTTCTTCGCGCGCGATGAGGAGATTTGGGGATGACGACGAGGTTACATAAAGGTAATGAATGCTAAAAAGGAAGAGAGGGACTTCGAGGCTTTGACCAAGCGGTTTTGGCAGTAACTCTGCTAGGAGTAATGTTAGGGTTTAGATGACACTCTCTAGGGCAGATTTGAAATTGCAAGGAGATAGTCGCTTCCAATCCAGGTTGTTCCAGAATGGTACGTGTAGCTGCGTAGGGCGTTACTGTGGTAAGTCTCACCCTGCCCTCTTTAACTATCTAGTAGGAGCAGCGATACGGTGAATTATTTTCAGATATAGAAAATTCAAGTTAAGGAAAACGGAAAGGTTTTCTGGGACAAAAGATAATTGCAAAAAAACAGATTTTCTTTAAAATTTGATGGCAGTACAGGAAGGGAAGGGAAGGGAGAGAGTGAGGGAAATTCCAACTAACTCAGGGAGACATCCTAGCGTACCGAATTTCACTTGGTTTCATGGCAAATAAGGCATCTGCTGCGAGAAACATCTATCCTCATTTCAATTTCATCCCGGAGAGAATAATGCTGATCCTGGGATCTCATTGGAAATTTTAGCGCATCACCCTCTTTCTTGCACAATTGGTCTTCCTATATGGTATCGTCGGTGTAGTTATCGCAGGGTCTGAGCCGCAAATAAAGTAAGAGTGCAAGTTTTGGCTAACTACATGGTAGAAATAGAAGAGGTTGGGAGAGAGAGACCCTCTCCTCCAAACATAAGTGGTTAACGACCTATTGAAATTTCAAAATGAAAGATTATGAAGTTTATTACCTGAGGTCTGAAATTGTTGAAATGACTTGAAGACACTTCAAGTCATTTCAGGACTTTCAGGTGGTTTGAAGGGTTTTTTTTCTTTTTTCTGTTTTTTTTTTTTTTCCCCAATATTATTGTGTATACTTCATGTCATTAAGTTTCGGGTGGGGAGACATGAAACCTGTTAAATGACCTAAAGTGGTTGAAGCTTCTAAAAGCGGTTTTAGATCATTTATCCAAATGTTTGGATTGGGGCATCTGAAACCGCTTTCATATTTTCAACCATTTCAAGTCATTTCAGGAGTTTCAAGTGGGGAGTCATGAAACCTTTGAAATGACCTGAAGTGGCTGAAGCTTCTTAAAGCGGTTTCAGGTTCCCACATTCAAATGCTTGGGTAGGGGAACCAAAAACTACTTTCAGAAAACACTTTCATAATCTTCAGTCACTCCATGTTATTTCAGAAGTTTCAGGTGGGGAGACCTGAAACCTCTAAAATGACTTGAAGTAGCTGAAACTTTTAAAAGCGGTTTCAAGTCCCCCAATCCAAGTACCCAACAATCATCTGAAGTAGTTAAAAATAACCTTAAAATATAGACATATGTTTACCTTCTCTCCTCCAAACTTTCAGGTGATAGAGAACAGGGTACGACATCACTTAAACAGTGCTACGATGAAGGCATGTTTCCCCTGACGCCTAATCCGGGTGAAGTAGTGGTTGACGAGAGGGGGA